AAAAAAAAAAAAAAAAAGGAAGTTGGAAAGTTTACAGTCTCACCAAGTAGCACTTGAGAGGCCTTTTTTCTTTTAATGTTTATGCAGGCCTTTTCCTTTCTTTTCTTTTTCTCTCTTCTTTTCTTTCCTCTTCTCTTCTTTTCTATTTCTCTGGAGATAATGCTGGAATGCAGAAAAATTACACCTTCAAGATTAGAGCCAGGTGCAGTGGCTCGCAGTTGTAATCCCAGCAGTTTGGGAGGCCGAGGTAGGCAGATCACTTGAGGTCAGGAGTTAGAGACTAACCTGGCCAACATGGTAAGCCCCCATCTCTACTGAAAATATAAAACTTAGCCGGGCATGGTGGCATGTGCCTGTAATCCCAGCTACTTGGGAGGCCGGGAGTGTGAGCAGGAGAATCATTTGAACCCGGGAGGCGGAGGATGCAGTGAGCCAAGGTTACGCCAGTGAGTTATCTTGCCACTACACTCTATCTAGCCTTGGTGGCAAAGTGAGACTCCATCTCAAAAAAAAAATAAAAGATTGGTTGCACAACATTGTGAATGTACTTAACACTACTTAACTGTAAGACTAAAAATGACTAAGATGGTTAACTTTATATTCTATGTATTTTACCCCAATTAATAATAAAACATAAAATTGTACCTTTGAGGCCGGGTGCAGTGGCTCATGCCTGTAATCCCAGTACTTTGGTATGCCAAGACAGGCCGATCACTTGAGGCAAGGAGTTTGAAACCAGCCTGACCAACATGGCAAGACCCTGCCTCTACTAAATACACAAAAATTAGCCAGGTGTGGTGGCACATGCCTGTAATCCCAGCTGCTTGGAGGCTGAGGCATGGGAATCGCTTGAACCCAAGAGGCGGAGGTTGCAGTGAGCCAGCATCACACCACTGCACTCCAGCCTAGGCAACAGAGCAAGACTCTATCTCAAAAAAGGTTGTACCTTTGAGCTAACCCCTTAGAAATTTTATGAGCTTCAGCACTTTAACAAGTACTAAGTTCTCTATTAGTCTTTTTTTTGTTGTTGTTGTTGTTGTTTTTTTTTGAGACGGAGTTTCGCTCTTGTTACCCAGGCTGGAGTGCAATGGCGCGATCTCGGCTCACCACAATCTCCGCCTCCTGGGTTCAGGCAATTCTCCTGGGTTCAGGCAATTCTCCTGCCTCAGCCTCCTGAGTAGCTGGGATTACAGGCACACGCCACCATGCCCAGCTAATTTTTTGTATTTTTAGTAGAGGCGGGGTTTCACCATGCTGACCAGGATGGTCTCGATCTCTTGACCGCGTGATCCACCCGCCTCGGCCTCCCAAAGTGCTGGGATTACAAGCGTGAGCCACCGTGCCCGGCCCTCTATTAGTCTTTTGAAAGAATGTTTATCCATTACACAAATCTGACCTGATATCTTCCTGTGATATTTTTTGAATATAAGCAAGGCATATTGCCATTAGAAAATAGCACAGTTGGCTGGGCACAGTGGCTCCCGCCTATAATCCCAACAGTTTGAGAGGCCAAGGCAGGAAGATTGCTTGATCCCAAGAGTTTGAGCCCGGATATTGTATTATTATAAATACAGTATCTAATTGTATTCGTAGTAATACCCAAAGGTGTGTGGCGAACCATTTTCTCTGCCTGCCCAGGCTGTGTGCATCCCTCCCCAACCCCAAACAGCTATTCTTAGAGTATCCTCTGCATTTACAAGGCTGTGAATCATATGTATTTTCCTGGCTAAATCCGGTTTCTTCTCTATGTTGTTGTTATGCCACAATAGTTCGATTTTCTGTTTGAATTCTAGGACAGCTGTGGGAAGAGGCCGAGCTTGGCTGTATCTTGCGCTCATGCAAAAGAAACTGGCAGATTATCTGAAAGTACTTATAGACAATAAACATCTCTTAAGGTATTTCATCAACTATATTTGCTTATCTTTTGCTTGCTAAATAATTAGAACATAGGCTGGGTACGGTGGCCCACGCCTGCAATCCCAACACTTTGGGAAGCCAAGAAGGGTGGATTACTTGAGGTTGGGAGTTCAAGACACCAGCCTGACCAACATGGTGAAACCCCATCTCTACTAAAAATACAAAAATTAGCCAGGCATGGTGGCGGGTGCCTGTAATCCTAGCTACTCGGGAGGCTGAGGCAGGAGAATCACTTGAACCCAGAAGGCAGAGGTTGCAGTAAGCTGAGATCACACCAGTGCACTCTAGCCTGGACAACAGAGTGAGACTCCGTCTAAAAATAATAATAGGCCAGGTGCAGTGGTTCACGCCTATAATGCCAGCACTTTGGGAGGCCGAGGTGGGCAGATCATGAGGTCAGGAGTTTGAGACCAGCCTGGCCAACGTGGTGAAACCCCATTTCTACTAAAAATACAAAAATTAGCTGGGCACGGTGATGCATGCCTATAATCACAGCTACTTGGGAGGCTGAAGTAGGAGAATCGCTTGAACCTGGGAGGTGGAGGTTGCAGTGAGCTGAGATTGCACCATTGCACTCCAGCCTGGGCGACACAGTTAGACTCCGTCTCAAAAATAATAATAACTAGAACATAGTTCTATAGATCATTTTGAATTAAAATAAGTGTATCAGCCAGGCATGGTGGCTCATGCCTGTAATCCTAGCACTTTGGGAGGCCAAAGCGTGCCAATCACTTGAGGTCAGAAGTTCAAAAGCAGCCTGGCCAACATGGTGAAACCCCTACTAAAAATAAAAAATCAGCCAGGCATGGTGGCATAGGCCTGTAATCCCAGCTACTCAGGAGGCTGAGGCAGGAGAATCACTTGAACCCATGAAGCAGAGGTTGCAGTGAGCCAAGATCACACCACTGTAACTCCAGCCTGGGAAACAGAGCGAGACTCTGTCTCAAAATAAAAAATTAAATAAGTGTATAATGTTTACAGGAATTTATGACTGGTTCATTTTTTATATTTGTAACTAAGCAAACATCATTATAAAAGGAATTTTCTCTATACTATGATAATTTATGAGGGAGGACTCTTTCCAGAGTTAAAGCTCTCTTGTAATTGAGAAACAGATAAAAACAGGTAATTGAGAAATAGATCTTTTACAGCATAGCCTAAAACCCAAGTTTCTCAGTGTTTTCAAGTCCTGGCTCGTTATCAAACATAATCTTTACACTGCAAATAATGATTTACAATATTTCACATACTCTGAGTAACTGAGTAACTTTGAGTTACAGATTTTGTTGTAATGAACTCTTTTTCAATTAGTTTTTTATTTATAATTGACACAGAATTGTACATATTTATGAGGTACCATGTGCATGTATATACTATATAATGATAAAATCAGGGTAATTACCATATCCCTCACTTTACTAGTAAACTAATTCTTTTTTTTTTTCTTTTTTTTGAGATGGAATTTTGCTCTTGTTGCCCAGGATGGAGTGCAATGGCATGATCTCGGCTCACTACAGCCTCTGCCTCCCAGGTTCAAGCGATTCTCCTGCCTCAGCCTCCCAAGTAGCTGGGATTTCAGGCGTGCACCACCACACCCGGCTAATTTTGTATTTTTAGTAGAGATGGGGTTTCTCTGTGTTGGTCAGGCTGTTCTCGAGCTCCCAATCTCAGGTGATCCGAACGCCTTGACCTCCCACAGTGCTGGGATTACAGGCATGAGTCACCATGCCTGGTGGCCTTTTTTTTTTTTTAAGATGGAGTTTCATTCTTGTTACCCAACCTGGAGTGCAGTGGCACGATCTCAGCTCACTGTAACCTCCACCTCCTGGGTTCAAGCAATTCTCCTGTCTCAGCCTCCTGAGTAGCTCTGATTACAGGTGCATGCCACCACGCCTGGGTGATTTTTGTATTTTTAGTAGAGATGGGGTTTCATCATATTGGTCAGGCTGGTCCCAAACTCCTGACCTCAGGTGATCTGCCCACGTCAGCCTCCCAAAGTGTTAGGATTACAGGCGTGAGCCATCGCACGCAGCCACTAATGAGGTAGTTCTTAAAAGTTCACACACACACACACACACAAACACACACACACACACACACACACACACACACACACAGTGGCCTGGATGCCACTGGATTTGGTACATTAGCAAATCATTGCTGACCAGAGCAGTAACAGACAGGGGATGGACCCCTACTGCAAATGGCCGAGATAACTGGGCAATAAGGAAGTAAAAGCAGCAGATGTTGCTAGTGGGATGCAAGAAGGAGTTTTATGCTTGGATGTGGGATCCCATTTCCTGTTTATATGAGCATAAGTGGAGAAGTAGTTCATATCAACACAGAAGAGGAGCCAGTGGAGACACAGGAAGGGAAAGTGACCTTCGGGAGTACAGTGGCCAGGAGGAGATGAGAAGAACTGGGGTCCAGGGTCTGCATGGAGGAGTTAACCTTAGACATGGGGAGGGGAGAGCCCATTCTAAGCCACAGAAGGAGAAGAGAGGACAGAGAAGAAAAAGTGGCCCTTGAAGCAGTGAAGGGAAATGAAAGGGAGGGAGGATACCCACAGTAGTATCTCCTGTCTCCAGGGTACAGTTGAAACGGCAGTGGAGGGTGGGGAAGGAATGATGATGGCGAAGCTGTTTCTGAGCATCGCTCTGGCCTGTCTATCTCTTTTTAGTGAGTTCTATGAGCCTGAGGCTTTAATGATGGAGGAAGAAGGGATGGTGATTGTCGGTCTGCTGGTGGGACTCAATGTTCTCGATGCCAATCTCTGCCTAAAAGGAGAAGACTTGGATTCTCAGGTAAAGTGAAATTTTGGTTCTAGATGAAACACCTTCATTAGTCCAGGGACTTTACAAAGTATCTGCAGACAGGTACTAAACCTAAAGAAGGGCCAATGGCAAAGAGCCCTCTGGTAAAGGACCGGCCAGGGGCAGTTGGGGAAGCAGCTGGGGAAGGTCTTGGAAGGGTGAAGAAGTTGCATAGCCAGAAGTACACCTGGAAAGTTCAGCAGGTTTGGAAATAGGCAGACAGCTCTCCAAGGCTGGAGCAGAGGATGCTCCATGGGTGAGGTGAAAGTGAAAGCTGGGCCTGATTTTTAGGCCATCAATGCCAAGCTGAAGGGTGTAGCTTTTATCCCCTGAGCTTTGGGAAACTGTTGGAAGTTTTTTTTGTTTTAGCTTTTTTTGTTAAGAGACAGGGTTTCTCAGGCCGGGCGCGGTGGCTCAAGCCTGTAATCCCAGCACTTTGGGAGGCCGAGGCGGGTGGATCACAAGGTCAAGAGATCGAGACCATCCTGGTCAACATGGTGAAACCCCGTCTCTACTAAAAATACAAAAAATTAGCTGGGCATGGTGGTGCGTGCCTGTAATCCCAGCTACTCAGGAGGCTGAGGCAGGAGAATTGCCTGAACCCAGGAGGCGGAGGTTGCGGTGAGCCGAGATCACGCCATTGCACTCCAGCCTGGGTAACATGAGTGAAACTCCATCTCAAAAAAAAAAAAAAAAAGAGACAGGGTTTCTCCATGTTGGTCAGTCTGGTCTTGAACTCCTGACCACAGGTGATCTGCCTGCCTCAGCCTCCCAAAGTGCTGGGATTACAGGTGAGAGCCACCACGCCCGGCCACTGTTGGAAGTTTTTAAGAAGTACACAGAAATGATCATGCCTGGATTTGAGAAAGCTCAATCTAGCAGCCGTTCAGGTCATGAGTTAGAAGTGGCCAAGAATAGATACAGCAAAAGCTTTGAAGAGACAAGTCTAGAAGTCCCACAAGGTTGGATGAGGAGTAGGAAGATAGAGTCGGCTGGGCACTGTGGCTCACGCCTGTAATCCCAGCACTTTGGGAGGCCGAGGTGGGTGGATCACGAGGTCAAGAGATCGAGATCATCCAGGCCAACATGGTGAAACCCCATCTCTACTAAAAATACAAAAAATAGCTGGGCATGGTGGCACGTGCCTGTGGTCCCAGCTACTCGGGAGGCTGAGGTGGAAGAATCGCTTGAACCCAGGAAGCGGAGGTTGCAGTGAGCCGAGATTGCGCCACTACATTCCAGCCTGGTGACAGACCAAGACTCTGTCTCAAAAAAAAGGAAGATAGAGTCAGGAGAGATTTGGGAAGTCAGGTTGATAAAGTGGGGCACAAATGAAAGTAACCAGTAAGGTGTAGGTGCTCTTTGGGAAGGACAACCCTCTTGGGGTGGGCTTTCTTCCTGCATGGGAGCTGGTGACCAGAGCCGAGGCCCAAACTCCTGGTTGCAGGAACTGTAAATGTCTGAGGGGGAATAAACACCCTGACCCCTTCCTCACTTCCACCCCGTCTTCAGGGCATCTGCAGCTGTGGCTGGGCCACTGCCTGGAAGAAAGGGATTATTTTACATTATCTAGCAAAATGTCCAGCCTTTTTCCTGCACTGTGTTTGATGAATCTAAAGCTTCCCTGATCCCTCCATGTGCAGGCCAATGTTTTTTTGTAACCTCTCCTCCCTTTAAAAAAAAAAAAAGTTTTATTGTTTTTGCATGTTGAAAAATATCTTTTTTTGAATTCAGAGAAGTAGTTTTGAAAAGTCACTAAACATCACACATATTCTCATTACCCTAAGATGGAGAATTCAGTGTTACATTGTGGTATACATCTTTCTAGCACATGAATAAAGGTGTGTGCGTGAATAAAGGTATGTGCGTGAATAAAGATGTGTGCAAGAATAAAGGTGTGTGCGTGCATGTGTGTGTTTATGTTTGGGTATTTTAGAGTGGGATATTTGGTGGGTTTTTTTGTGTGTGTGAAATCAAACTGATTATTTTAAGCACACCATTTTGTAATTTTTAAAAATTTAACAACATGTTTCACACAGTTCTCAATAACAACAAGATATGTAAACCATTTCAAATGGCTATGTAGTATTTCTTTTTTTTTTTTTTTTTTTTTTTTTTTTTGA